AAAGTTGATGTTTACCAGCCATGCCTGCATACTACAACCGCGCAACCAATAGCATTCAATTTCAGTTAGACGTCATTGTAGCCTATCACATATACGAGTGAGATCAGTGACCATTACAGATCAGTTGTGAGGGTACATAATACCACGCCCATTGATATACTATGTTTCATTCACAGCACCTTCCACATGTCTTCCCTATGACTTCGTGTGTTCTAATAGTTTATGTCTGCCTCTCAACTGGGTATGTGATGATTATGACGACTGTGGGGATAATTCCGATGAAGATGCTGCGATATGCAATTGTAAGATTATTTAAATCCGTATATTTTCTGTTGCCGTTGGCGGGGATCTAATAATTACCCTTGGACAGTATGTGTTATATTGTGAATATGAATTTAGCTATCCCTGGTTTCAAATCAAATGAATCCCTGGTTTCCAGCTACATATTTTTCTTCTTATTGCCATGGTAATTGCCGGTAGGACACATAGTGGATTGCATCCATTTGTGTTCTATATTTCTAAACCTGTCCTTTTTGCCATTATATCACATCATACGCAATGTGTATATTTAAGTAAGAGTTGAATACTAAAAGTCTGCTTTACAAACCTTGAAGAAATTTCTCCATTATTATAACGGATATGACTATCAAGATATTAATATCTGTTATAATAAGAAAATGAGTAAATATTTTGATTATTACAAAGTACGAAGAGATACCAATTTCAATGTGACCTACGACTATGACGCAAACAATATCATTATTTTATTTCTCTTCATATGTAAGTGACTGGCTATTAACAGAAAATAAAGACCAGGTACCAGAGTACATGACATAACTCACGATAGTATATTTCATTAATAGCACCTCTCACATCTCCCACATGTCTTCCTGGTGAGTTAGTGTGTGATAATGGCCTGTGTTTGTCTCATACCTTGGTGTGTGATAACTATGACGACTGTGGGGACAATTCCGATGAAGATCCGACGTTATGCAATTGTACGTTTCATGCGTTGATATTATGTTACGCGTTGAATAATACTTGCGCTGCATACCTTAGTTTTCTAAATATATGTGTCTGGAGCAAAGGTGATGTTTACCAGCCATGCCTGCATACTACAACCGCGCAACCAATATCATTCAATTTCAGTTAGACGTCAATGTAACCTATCACATATCCGAGTGAGATCAGTGGCGATTACAGATCAGTTGCGAGGGTACAAAAGCATAATACCACGCCCATTGATATACTATGTTTCGTTCACAGCACCTTACACATGTCTTCCCGATGACTTCGTGTGTGCTAATAACTTATGTATGCCTCTCAACTGGGCATGTGATGATTATGACGACTGTGGGGACAATTCCGATGAAGATGCTGCGATATGCAATTGTACGTCCATTTAAATGCGTATATATTCCTTCACTGCTTCCGGCTATATTATAATTGTCCATGAGTAAAATTAATCAATAATTAACTTTGACTGATAAATATTATCTATCACATTAACACTCCTCTTGCATTTGATTCTAATAATTCTAATCTGTCCTAATACTCCCAAAGTAGAAAAACTAACATTAGCAGGCTGAGGTTGCTCCGCCGCTAAGTTGCATTTTTAATTGCAAGTAATACATGACAGAGATGATTAATTCACATCAAAACCACACAACAAAATATGTTTCTAGGATTGGTTCTATAAAGCAATAGAGATTTTGTTTCTTTTTGAGACAAGTACAACAAGTATATTCGTCTATACACAGAATTCAGTTTTCGAAAACCTTCAACGTAACCCGTGGAACATTCAATATCCCTAGTTTTTTCATTATAAATGTGAGTTGGGTCAGTGGGTTTTAAGATCATATGAAGATATATCACCAGACATGTTATGGTATGTTTCATTCACATGACCTCCTGGTATTGGAGTGGTTCGTGTTCGTGATATTTCCTTGCGTTGAGCGGTATATGTTTCGCCATTTTAGGATGTGCGTAGCTGGTGGAGTCACACTTTCTAATTTCGTACACGGACCTGTGTGATTTACCGCTCAGGGGGTGTAAAATACTTTTATATCACTGCTGCTGCATGATACGTGAGAAAAATAATATCTGATTTGGTTTAGTCATTGCACAATAATATTGGGAACTATTAGCTTATTTATGTGAAGTAATACATACAATGTCACGTGTAACCCACATAGTTAATAATAATATAAATAATAATTACATGGTATCGATAACAAGAATAATAAAATAAATAGTGAAACTATACAATAATGAAAAATATAAGTGAATAATAGGCACATTTTAATATTTGGGCAATAATAATTGTTTAATTGATGTTTTTGGATGATCTGCTGCAGAAAATCTAGTTGTTTCATACATGTCTTCTCGGGTACGTAATACCACGTCCACAAATATGCTATGTTTCATTCACAGCACCTTCAACATGTTTCCCCGATGACTTTGTGTGTGCTAATAGTGTATGTCTGCCTCTCAACTGGGTATGTGACAACTACGACGACTGTGGAGACAATTCCGATGAAGATGATGCGATATGCAATCGTAAGTTTATTGAAATTCCTGTGTATGCTGTTGAGGGCTGGTGGCCCGTGGGCTATGTATTGGATCACCATGAGTATATTCTCGTCTGGGATAAAGAGAATGGCCTTAAGAACAACTACACATATTTCATTCGATCTGATGCTAGGCTAAATATTGTGCATATTGTTATGGTATGTTTCTTTGACAGCATCTTCCACGTGTCCTTCCGGTGAGTTTCTGTGTTCTAATGGTCTGTGTCTGCCTTCAAACTGGGTATGTGATGACTATGACGACTGTGGGGACAATTCCGATGAAGTTTCAGCGGAGTGCAATTGTAAGTTTATTAAAAGCATATGTATAACAAAAAAATATTCCGTTGCAGTTAGCAGAATATTATAATAGGCCATGGACAGCATATAGTTATTTTGTGAATATATTTGTCTTCGTCGGATAAAATTAAATAATAATTATCTCAAGTAGAGACTATATAGCATAGGGACATTGAGGATGTATATATATATATAGCATTCATGCCAATTCTAATAATATGTTTAATAAACAGCATCTTCCACGTGTCGACCCGGTGAATTCGTGTGTGATAGCGGGTTGTGTATTCTTCCTAACTGGGCATGTGATGACTATGACGACTGTGGAGACAATTCCGATGAGAATGAAGCGATGTGCAATTGTGAGTTCACTGAAATGCGTATACATGCTATTTTGTCGAGCGGGTAACTTATAATAATTTAGTCCAATATGAGAAACTGACACACATAAATGTAAATATCTAAATTTGAATGTGCGATAATGTGCGGTACATTTACAAAAGTATGGCTACTTAGGTGATCGGTATTTCAGTATTAAAAATTTACAGTTTTTTGTTTGTGTATATGCTATTACGCATTTAATTGGATATAGTCTCATGTTGACTAAGTATTTTGCGACTCACACTGAATGTTATGCACCGCCCCGGGAACGGTATCATCCTTTAATGGTTAATTGTCATTCAAATTAGACTGATTAATTTATTTATGTATCTTGTTCAATATCCAGTGTGCGATTTTCAATTCCGATGCACCGATGGTAGTTGCATAGAAAGCAGTAAACTCTGTGATGGCACTTTTGATTGTAGTGACACCTCCGATGAATACAATTGTAGTAAGTTAATTCAGTCTTCGATCGATACTTTCGCTGTACTGTCTTCGTGCATACGTTGAGGTATCCTCGTAATAACCTCATATTATACATTCTTATTATTTTCTATTAAAAAGTATGATGTATATATTATATATATAATATAATATATATATATAATATAATATAATATAATATAATATAATATAATATAATATAATATAATATAATATAATATAATATAATATAATATAATATAATATATTGTCGTATCGTGTGTGTTTTACAGATTCGTGTAACAATGACCAATTCATTTGTGATGACGGTAGTTGCATATCCCTCACATTACAATGTGATGGAAATAACGACTGTGCTGACAACAGTGACGAGACTGTTTGCGGTAAGTGATTACATTATCTCTGATATTGAATTATGTATTTTGTAATATAGGTTATATTTTTTTTCCAGAGTATAATGTTTATAGATGGGTTTGCAATAAAGATATATTTTTTCAGAGTGTGGAACAGTAACTGCGACATTGCCTCGAATCGTTGGCGGTGTGTACTCGATGCTCGGTGAATTGCCATGGCAAGTTTCGTTACTGTCGGGAAGATCCCATTTCTGTGGAGGCACATTAGTTCGCCCACAGTGGATTGTGACTGCTGCCCATTGTATTGTTGACGAGTAAGTATATGTAAATTCTAAATAGTGATTGCCAACTTTAACTTCAAGTTGCATATTCTTCAAAACTCGTATTTTTTCACAAAGATACAATGCAACGTCAACGACGCATGTAAAATAGATTATCACACAAGTGTGGAATACACGCTGCGAGACACAGCAAGTCTGTGGTAACACGAACAGAAATGTTAGCTACCTGTTTCTACAGTGCCAATGTCACGCAGTTCAGCCAAAGTTTAAACCCTATATAAAAT